TTGAAAAAGAAAGTTGTAAAGTTTTGAATTAAATTTAAAAATTAACTTGATATCTATTAACGCATAAATAATTTGAGAAAATTAACTAGTATTTTTTTTTTAAATTTACATTTTCTTAAGAAAGTTACATGAATCAAAACATGAGTAAATTAATTATAAAAAAATTGCAATATTTGTAAATTATTTACAATTTTTCCTAAAAAGTTAAATGTAACAAAACGTGCATATTTCCGAATTAAATTTCTAAAACTATTTTTTTTTCTAAAATACGTAACGCACGTAAAATACGTAATTTGAAAATAAACAATTTGAATTGAGGAATTATTGTATGAAAATGTACAGAAAATTCTATTAATTTGTATGTGGAAACGTATGAATTCGCAGGTGTTTATCCGTGTTGGAAATTTGAGTTGCGCTAAAAATACGCGCGCGCCATCTAAAAATATTTTAAAACACCGGATTATAAATGTCGTAATGCCGTTGAGTAATCCGCGGTCCGAGAATAGGACGCGCGGGGCCGAATCGAAGAAGAGAACTATGTAATTACTGCAACAAACACCTAACTTCAATCGATCCAAAAACACAACATCCCTAGAAACGATTAAAGATTCTCAATAAAACTACATATAATTCAACTAATAAGTGAATTAGATCGATTAAAACAATAAATTACACTTAAACTAATGTATCGAGTATTTAAATTGCTCAAATCCATTAAAAACTATTCGTATTACCCGCATCGCATCGAAACAATAAACAAGATTAGATTAAAAAGCGTTACGAGAAGTGTCGCTATCTCATCTTGGTTTCAACAAATATGTAAAGTCATTGATAAAGTCAGAAGCATCATCCACGTTCTCAGTTTTGATACAAAATGTTTCGCTGTTTGCGGAGGCAACGTTTATTTTAGTTTCGCGTTCATTGTGTACTATTTATAGTGCACCATAAACGCACGCTGCTTTATTTTATTTATTTTTTTTATAATCCTGCTCTCCTGCACTTGCCTCCGCATTTTATTATTACTTTACACTCAATTCAATACGCAACAAACTTAGTTTGTTGCAAAAGGATTAAATTTAGATTTGCAATAAAAATCACTGTTTTTACTTGTAATTACAAAACGCTTATGGCTCCGTCGGAATTCGCCGACAATGATTAGCGTCAAGGACTCCCGCATGTAGAATTAATTATCTTCGCCATGTTAAAAACAATACAGATTGTAGGAAATAGCTAAACGGATTTACGTAAAAATTAACTTACTTTCACATATTAATTGTGGGTTTTAGATATGTAAAATCGTTTTTGAACTTGGGAATCGCGCGAAACGAGAGCGAAAGCTGCTCCTCGGAGATGATGCGTTCACGTTGTTGTTGTTGTTGTTTGCGATGATGATGATGATGTTGAAAGTGAATGGTGCTAAAGAAAGAAAGAAATAAAAAGGAGACTCACCTCGCCATGATCCATCCTTCCTTCGGGCGTGTTCTCCGGCAAAAAGTATAGCCTCAAACTGGCCAGCACTTGCTCACTATTCTTATCCGCCCAGAGCAGCTGCAGCTCACCGATGCACACCAGATCCGAGTCCATCCACAGCTTCACGAAAAAGAATTCACTCAGTGTCATTATGTGTCTCTGGCCGTTCTTCGTGTACTTGAAGGCCTTGTAGAAGGTGTAAGGGCCGTGCTGTCCGCACGGGCCTCCTATCAGCTGGAAAAAGCGAAAGAAACAAAACGAGAAAATCAATGGAAAAATCGAAACTTTAAAATTAAAAACATTCGACAGTGAAAAACCAACAACAAAAAAAGTAACAAATCAACTTTTCAGCATCAATTGATTTCGATTCAATCACGACTAATTGAAACGATAATTTTCCAAGCGCAAACTCCATTTATTTCAACTAACTAAAACTTTTTCATCGTATCAATTTAAAAAAATAAACCGCGCAGTTTTTCTTTTCATATCTAGGCTAATTAGAGGAAATAATTACATTAATAAATCCTAATAATTATTTCCATTTTTTATTAAATTTAAGTTATGAACTTTCCAGTTTCCTTTTGCCACACAAGAGCGAGTTTTTCGTGGAGAGAGAGTTTTTTTTTTATTATTTTCTTCTTTAATATTTATTTCTTGCTCGCTTACTGCTCTTTCTATCTCTCTTCTCTTCTTTCTTTAATTTTAGAAGAAACCCACGTAAATTAGAGCAAACGTGCTCACGGCCGACTCCGCCAGATGTCTTGTATTATATTATATTTATAATTTTTTTTTTCAAAGAGAAACTCTTACCGAAACTCCCGTACACTTATAATTAATTTAAATAAATTCGCGTAGATCGAGCCGTAACTTCAGTGATGAAGCTTTGTATTAGAAATTATATAACGAATTCAACTAAACTAAATAATTGTTCATAAATTATTAAGAAAAATGATGAAATTTCATAAAATAAACTTGAAAATTTTAAAAGATTTCATCAAATAATGGAATACGAATTGCGTGTAGTGTAAATTACAAGATAATAAATAATTAGTAAGAAAAATGATGAAATTTCTCAATATAAACTTCAAAATTTGAAAAATTTCATCAAATATATGGAATACTAATTGCGTGTAATGTTAATTACTAGAAACTATATAATTAGTAAGAAAAATGATGAAATTTCTTAAAATAAACTTCAAAATTTGAAAAATTTCATCAAATATTTGAAATACTAATTGCAAGTAACATAAATTACTAGAAATTACGTAATTGTTTAAAAATTATTAAGAAAAATGATGAAAATCTCTAAAATAAACTTCAAATTAAAAGAAACGAATTGCGAGTAATGTGAATTAATTGAAACTAAATAATTGTTTAAAAAATATTAAGAAAAATGATGAAATTTCTTAAAATAAACTTGAAAATTTTAAAAGATTTCATCAAATAATGGAATACGAGTTGCGAGTAATGGGAATTACTAGAAATTAAATAATTGTTTGAACATTAATAAGATAAATGATGAAATTTCGAAAAATAAACTTGAAAAATTTAAAATATTTCATTAAATAATGGAATACGAATTGGAAGTAACATAAATTTCTAGAAATTAAATAATTGTTTAAAAAATATTAATGAAAATGATGAGATTTCTTAAAATAAACTTGAAAATTTTAAAAGATTTCATCAAATAATGGAATACAAATTGCAAGTGACGTAAATTACTAGAAACTAAATAATAATTCAAAAATTATTAAGAAAAATGATGAAATTTCGTAAAATAAACTTGAAAATTTAAAAGATTTCATCAAATAATGGAATACGAATTGCGAGTAATCTACATTACTAGAAACTAAATAATTGTTTAAACATTAGTAAGAAAAATGATGAAATTTCTTAAAATAAACTTCAAAATTTGTAAAATTTCATCAAATAATGTAATACGAATTGCGTGTAGTGTAAATTACTAGATAATAAATAATTAGTAAGAAAAATGATGAAATTTCTAAATATAAATTTCAAAATTTGAAAAATTTCATCAAATATATGGAATACTAATTGCGTGTAATGTTAATTACTAGAAACTATATAATTAGTAAGAAAAATGATGAAATTTCTTCAAATAAACTTCAAAATTTGAAAAACAAATGATCAAATAATGGAATACAAATTGCAAGTAATGTAAATTACAAGAAATTAAATAATTGTTTAAAAATTAGTAAGGAAAATGATGAAATTTCTTAAAATACACTTCAAAATTTTAAAAGATTTCATCAAATAATGGAATACGAATTGCGTGTAGTGTAAATTACTAGATAATAAATAATTAGTAAGAAAAATGATGAAATTTCTTAAAATAAACTTCAAAATTTAAAAAAAAATTCATCAAAAAATGAAATTGCGTGTAATGTGAATAGAAAGAAATGATGAAATTTGTTGAAAATAACATTGCAAACAGTAAACAATAACAAATAAGGTTGAAAATATTTACAGAAAATCCACGTAAATCTCTCTCTGTCTCTCTCTCTTTCTCTATCTTTCTGTCGGTGCGTTTTTTTTTGTTTTGTGTTAATTTTAGCGCCGTGTCAAAACCGTGCCATGTGTCAATACGGAAGAATTGGCGCGCTCTCAACAATATTGATATAATTAACGTCAAACGCACAACAAATACATTTGAAAGTCAAACTAACAACAACGTTAATAATAATAATAATAATGCTTTCCCACATTAAGACACGAAGATGAAAAGGAACACACACACAAAAAAATCATGATTCACGTTTATTAATACGAGAATCGCACGTTAAATATTTACATTCGCACAACCGATGCCAGAAATAAAATATATTTTTATAAAAAAAAATTGACTCAATATTCTAGAATTATCACAGGTAATAAACTACACCTTAATTAGATTAGAGTTAAACCTTAAGACTTTAGCACGAGACTTAATAATTAACTTCTAAAAGATTCTAGTATATTTTCATTTTAATAAATTTAAAAAAAATCGAAATTAGTTCGAAGCGCGTTCCGCTAGATGTCGCTTTCGAAAATCGCATCTTCGTAACCAAAAAGTTAATTCTTGCATTAATTAAAAAAAAAATCATTAACACACCAATATTTTCTTAAAATCAATTTACAGAAAGATATAGAAACACTGAAGAATGCGCACAGATATGGTAAAAGCGACGGATGAAGAAACAACGAAACCGGTTTGTTTTTTTTTTTAATTAAATCCGAAAGCTGACTTAGATTTAGTTTCCATCGGTTTGACAATGATGATGCGTTTCTTTATACATATTTTTTTTTTTTGGGGGGGAAACGGTAATTTGAAATCGATAGTTTTATAAATCGCTTGGTAATATGCAGAATATTGCCATCAATTTTTGTCAGCAACTCCGAAGCACACAATGCAAGAGGAAGAAGGGAACCGACGCCGATTTCTAAATCGATTTATAATCCTCGCGACAAACGGTTTTCGTGCTCCCGTCCAAATTTGACAATCCTTTTCATTTTAACAACTTCTCTTAAATATTAAAAATGATAATTACAAGTTGTTTTCACTGTGTTAATTCACTTTAGTTAGCAATCATTTATTTTGAGTAAAACTTAACAAGTACTTGACAAGTATCAAAAACAGTTGTTAAATACTTTGCGAAATAATAGGAAATTGGATGTATTCAAGCGATTGCGTAATTAGAAGGCTGTGATTAATCGCGGCGCGCGCGTAAAGGGAGAAGGACAACTGCAATTAGCGTTAACAATTTGTTTATAAACATAAACAATTAACTCATCGCTCGCTCATTAAATTCGATTGCGAATTGGAAGGAAAACCTCTAACTAACAAACCGAGATATATATACACACAAAAGTTTATCTCTCCGCGGAACGTTTAACAAATATTGAAACAGCATTATTATTATCTTCTTCATGGACTTTGCTACCCAGAACGCAGCAGCAACAATTACGCTCGAAACAATAGCCAAGTTGATCAATCGAGAGAATATATCATTATTATTAGCCGGCCTTCGTGATCTATTTTCGCATCTACTTATTCGACCCGTTAAGTATTTGTTAATCATCTGAATCGAAATATTGAAATATACAACAAACTTTGTATAATAATAATATGAAGCAACGTTTCGGATGGACTTTAAAATGTTTAATTTAAATTTTAAACAGTTGTGCGAGAGTGTAAATACAAAATTACATTCCATTATATAAAAGGTCGGCCGGGAAGGACTAAAGCGTTTGCCGAAAGAGAGAGAGAGAATTGCTGAAAGCGAAAGAGCGAATGAGAGAGGTTGAGGTTGGGGGAAGGGGGGAGCGCGCGCGGTTTGGAAAGAGACACATCGAGGGTACGGGGGGTGGCGGCGGAGGAAAGGAGATATTACATGGGAATCGATAACGATAACAACGCCGCCCCCGGGGGCGCAAAGCGGATGGCGCAATTAAAAAATTAAATGAAATAAATAAATTTAACAAAAAAAAATCTAATTAACAAAAATTTAAATTGAAAACAATTCAATTAATAATAAACGAAGGGATTCGTTGCGTTCCAAAATTAATTAGTCGTTATTGGAAATCTGCTGCTGCGGCGAAATGGAATTACACGTTTCTATAATGATTTGCGCTCCAAAAAAAAATAATTATCTTTCAAAACTTGGTTACGTAAACAACAACAAAAAAAAATTATCACTATTCTGTTTCAAATAAACTGGATACCATAGCTACTATTTTGAGGAAAGCGGTTACCATAGCAACCGCTTAAATTTTCATTTAAAATTTAATTAAATTTCATAACTTTACTAGCAAACTTCTGAATTAGTAAACTAAATAATTTTATCACGAAAATACGAACTAAACCGAATCAATAACTAGTTCCACGTATTTAATAAGTTTTGTAATTTTGTTAATTAATTAATTAATTAATTTCTATTCGATTCTTATTCTAATTATTATATACGCGTTGATATTTATTCTAAAACTATGAAAATGCAAACTGAATCATTTCCACGTAGTTACTAAAGATTAGATAAAGTATTGCAAATAATACTTTGTAATACATTTCATACGTTATTTTTTGTACGAAAATTAGATATAAATAACTTTACATATTGATTTTTAGTATACTAAAACAAGAATTACCCACATTCAAGCTAAATTAAAATCGATAACTTAATTACGAAAATGCATACACAATCAGCGACTTGTAGTTAACTAGTTCCACGTATTTAATGAGCGATTAGATAAAGTTTTGTAAATAATTTTTTTTTTATAAAAAAATCACAATTTAAATCAATAAAATACTCAATTCTAGGATAATTACTGTTGTTTTCTAATGATTTATATTTGAAAGTCAAACATATTTAATGTCTAAATATTAAAAAAAAAGAAGCTCGTTACACAACGAAACGCTCAAACAAAACCGATAACGCGAGCGCGGCCGCCTCCTTATCAATTGTTTAGGTTTTACTGCATAAACGTCATGGAAACGAAATACATTTTAAAACAAAAATAAATTACATTAACAAAACAGAGTGCAGCAGCAACATATTCTCATGGACTACGCGAATAACGCGAACAAAATTATAACATTTGCAAATTGTAAATATATTATAATAAACAACAAATTTTACATAAGCAACGACGATTTCAGACGAATCGAAATTGCATATTTAAAAAGAAAAAAACTGGTGACCTTATATATAAATAAATATGTTGCCACATCAATGGTTAATAGAATAATTGCTGTTTCATGTTGATTAATCGCTTCGTAAAACGAGACTTGTTTCAAAGTGCTGTTTTATGCATTCCATTCCGTATCGTGGACTTTACGTAGCAGCAGCAGCAACAGCGACATGATTTATTTAAACGTTATTCTGTGAAATATATTTATATTTATAAATACATTTATTAAAAACTTTACGACTTACATATTCCATGCTATTTAGTTTGAATAGTCACTTATTTCTATGTTAAGAGAAAACGTTAATTTCTTCATCGAAACGATTTAAATTCCGTCACTTGTTCGACTCATTAACTTATTGCAACCGCTTTATGTGTATACATACGCCACTACTAAAACATGTTATTTTATATATATATATATATATATATAAATAAAGCAGTTTTCAAAAATAGTTTATCATTTATCAATATTGAAAACTTTTTTTTATCCAATTTTAGTTAGTTTTTAAGCATTTCTCCACATATTCCAACAATTCATTTAATTTTCAATTAATTACGCATTTCCTCAAAATTTTCTAAATAAAACCTAATTGCGAAAACAATTTAAACAATGAGTAAATACGTTCTCTCATAAACACCTTATCGTAATTACGTACAATAAAAAATTATAAAAGATTACAACAATATTAATAACATTAGCTAAAATTCATTGAGTCTTGAAAGAAATCTTAATTAAAATATGAATTAATTGAATTAAATAATTACAATATTCAATCTATTAATTAAAAATAAAATATATAGAGTAAAAACAAAAAAAAAACTAATAAATTTAATAAAATAGTTTACAATATTTTTGAAATTCAAAATCAATCGCATATGCAAAACACGATAAACTTTTTTTGTTTCTCTCTCTCCCCACAAACAAACCGATTTTTATTCAACGCAAAGTTTAATAAACAAACAAAAAACATTATATTTATTTATAACGTTTTTAACCTAATCCAAAATAACATTCACACACTTTTAATAATTATTTTTTTTAAATTGAGTGTAAATTAGTTATTGATTATTTTTTATTATTGGAAAAAAAAAACTAATCAATGTTATTTTTAAACATGCACTTATCAATGTTTATCATATTCACCTTTACAAAGCGATTAAAAACTTAAAAACAAAACGATGAAATTGTGAAGAATAATTGCTTAGCAACGGAAATTTAAACATATTAATCTTCTAAAATAAAGGAATTCAATTGTTTAAACAAAAACAAATCAAGCTCATTAATAATTTTTAAATTATTTTCATTAATTGATAATTTAAAACGATTTAAACATATTAATCTTCTAAAATAAAGGAATTCAATTGTTTAAACAAAAAAACAACTCAAACTCATTTGTAATTTTTAAATTATTTTCATTAATTGATAATTTAAAACGAAAACAAAGTGAATTAAATGAATGTTGTTCGTTTTGTGAAACGGTTACATTCCTATTGATCGTTTAGAGAGTAAAATCAGCTTCAATAAACAGTGATGTGCGTTTCCGGTGCAAGCACATGGTTGCTTTTAAAACCGATCCAAGCAAGCTTCCATGAAACGTAAGTCTCTTATTATTATTTTTTTAACTGTTTTGTTTTGGGAGTATTCAAAATAGTTCCAATTCGTGTTGGTTTTTGAACTTTTGAACGCAAAACGACGACGTGCATTTCCGGCCCTTTATAAAACGACGCGAAGGACGTTATTACGCTCTATATATGCATATGTTTACGGTGAAGACGGATAATTGATGGGGGAGTCCTCTCTTGATAAAAGCGTCGATTATCATCGGTAAAACAGCGCGTTTATTTTTAAGCATGGAGAGAGAGAGTGAGATGAGCTGTGGAATAATCATCGTGGAACGCGAAAAGATTAGTGTTTGGCGGGAGAAGAGGTTGTGGAGGAGGCGCGATGACTTCACGTCTGCATGCAACAGAGTTAGATGCACACCGCACAGACTGCATGCGATCAACGAGTGCGAGTGAAAAAACGTGTAGTAGAGGTCTCGAAGCTTTATGCCCCGTCTCCGAGTAGATAGATAGACGTAACGCACACACACACACTTGGTTCTATTATTTCATTTCATTTCTGTTTTTTTTTAATTAAATTTTGTATGCGAGATAGATAATGCAACAGAAAAAACCCGACATTCGATTTCCAATAGGAAAATAATATCAAATGATATCTAATACATATATTTGCTTGTACATATATAAATATATAAGAATATAGATAAATATGTATATATAGATATAGAGAAGGCGCTGCTACAATAATCCAGGCCATTGCACACACAGAGCGAGTGCGCGCGACATTTTCGCAATCCGAGCGATTTAATATATATATATATAGTGAGAGATAAATGAAATATTCTATTTAGAACGATTAAAAAATAGATTTAAATTAAGAAATTCGTTGTGAAAAAAAAAAAAATAAAGATAATTTTTTCGATTAGTTTTCTTCGAAATTGGATTTGTTGGATACGTTTCTTATTTTTTGTAATTTAATTTCTTTCCGTTGTTGGTATCCATATTCTGATGATGATGACTTTACGATGACTATTTTTCGGCCTCCCGGCGAGACGCGCTCTCTCTCTCTCTCTCTCTCCGGGTCTCGGACGCGTTTATAAATACAATAACGATGGGATTCCACGTCCCGAGAATCATCGCCGCGCATCATCATCATATTTGCTACGACGAAGTGGACGCGTCATCGCGACCAATTAGCTAATCTAATTAACGAACAACAATAACATCGTACCTGCACACTGCCGTTGTCCATGGTGCGCGGAGCGCTCGCTGCTATCCTCTCCATCCACACAAAACTGTAGTAGGCTCCGACGAATATAAATATAAATATATATAAAAAAATATATATATTATGTATATATTATTTATATATATTTTATGTTGCTGAATTTATTCCAAACAGCAAGTGATAATAATAGTAATGAATCCGATTCACGAAATTACCACCATTACGTTTCTCGCCCATATTCCTGCGTTGTTGTTGTCGTCGTCGTCGTCCTCCTCTTGTTACTCCTCAACTCAAACTTATCCGTCCTGTTTGTTGTTGTTGTTATTGTTGTTGTTGTGGTGGCAGTGATAGTAGTAGTTTTATTTTCTCGTTGTTGCCGTTTTGTTGTTATCCTGTATGCACAGCACATCTATATAATTATATATATATAAATTCACATATATATAAATTGATATTAATAAAATACACAGCACTGCATAACACACCACAACACGCTAACACCATCCTCTCTACTTTGTATTTACTCTAATTATATGACGTCATGATACGGAGCGCTGCGAGCCGTTCGTGCGGTTCCGCCGGCCGTCGGCAACACTGGCGCTTTTCAAGAATGATCACAACCACACGTACGTACCGTACGTACACACGTACACTTCGTATACATACACGCACTAAGCGCGACACACGCACGGTGGGGGGATGATCGCGATGATTGCGATTCAGTTCGAACGACCGATCGGCTCGCAATGTTGTTGTTGTTGTTTCAGTTGCGATCGCTGTCGCTGCACCGGAGACGTCGTCGTGGGCATCATCACCGTCGCATCGATGATCATCATCATCATCAACGTAATCCTTCTTCTGTCGTGATGCACCACTACTGCTGAACCACCTCTAGCCACTGGAGCACGTGGGACAAGCGCCAGAACAACAAACACCGCGTTTACATCCACACTGTGCGGGGCACGCGACGCGACTGGCTTCTAGCACGGCCAGACAACGACGACGACGCGCTCAGTCGTCGCGACTCCTCCACCCCTGCCAGAGCTGCTGCACCGGTGCAGATCCTGCACCTCACTCTCATCCAATCATCCCCTATTTCATCTGTTATTAATGCTAAAACAGTTTACAATGGATTACAAAAAATAAAATAAAATCATATAGGTAAGAAACTTACTTTAACGATTAATCCGGTAACAAAATTCAACCAACGATGATAACTTTCAAAGCTGAAATTACGACAATCAATTATTGTATTCAACACAAATAATTATTTAAATAACCTAAAAACTTACAACCTTCACTTCACAAATGTCAAACGCAAAAACAAATGACAAACGATTTACCTAATCCATTGCAATAAAAATATCTCAATTTAGTTAAATTTAATAAATTAAAGCATAAAAACTTACTTTACAATAACACTAATTCATTGCGTCTTCTCTATTTGCATCTTTAAATCTTCGGATTTCCCTCATCTTCAACAACAACAACAACAACAATTCTCCTTTCTAAGTTGATCAAACACCAGTCAAATTATCGATTGTCAATAACCACGAGCTTCTACGATCATTGTTACAAAACTGAAATTAACACAACGTCAACACACAAAAACAAATGACAAACGATTTACTTAATCCATTGCAATAAAAATATCTCAATTTAGTTAAATTTAATAAATTAAAGCAGAAAAACTTACTTTACAATAACACTAATTCATTGCGTCTTCTCTATTTGCATCTTTAAATCTTCGGATTTGTCCCATCTTCAACAACAACAACAACGACAATTGTCGTTTCTACGATGCTCAAACACCCATCAAATTATCGATTGTCAATAACCACGAGCTTCTACGATCATTGTTACAAAACTGAAATTAACACAACGTCAAACACAAAAACAAATGACGAACGATTTACTTAATCCATTGCAATAAAAATATCTCAATTTAGTTAAATTTAATAAATTAAAGCAGAAAAACTTACTTTACTATAACACTAATTCATTGCGTCTTCTCTATTTGCATCTTTAAATCTTCGAATTTGCCCCATCTTCAACTTGTTGTTGTTGCAACGACAATTGTTGTTCCTACGATGATGCTCAAACACCCGTCAAATTATCGATTGTCAATAACCACGAGCTTCTACGATCATTGTTATAAAACTGAAATTAACACAACGTCAACACACAAATTTGTTATGCAACATAAACGTAATACTTACACTTTCAACAAGTTTCACATCATAATTAAAATGAAAAAAAAAAAGCGCAGTTTATTTCGATCCTCGCCAAAGCCATAATAATAAATGTCATTCACATTAATAGATATTGTTTACGCGTTGGTATTTTTGTAATTCAAATACACCCAACTAAATAAAATTAAAATATTTATTGATTTACATAATTTTTAATTAACTATATTGTTTATTTCTCCCTTTCATATCTAATGTTATATAATTATTAATTAATTAAAAATATTGAATTAAGGTAATTCGATAATCTCGTCTAAAACTAATTATTAATTAATATGTTTTTAATGTTGGCAATAATCTGTTCATTTTTGAATTTGATAAATCAAATCAAATAATGTTTAGAAAGTAGTGATAACTGTGTTGAATTAGTAAATGTTTCTAGTAGAAATACGATGACAATATCGAGGTTGATGATAATGAATTCCGTTTGCAGGTATGGATTACCGGTAATAAGCTGCCAACATTAATTAATTCGGAGATCGTAGCGCTCGTAAATATTTGTTTTTGGTGATTACCTTGGAAACCAACACAAGTTCGTGTCGTATGCAAATTGCAGCTCGATGCAATTGCTTCAGGTTTGAATTAGCTAAACTACATTGATGAAGAAAGTAGAAGCGATTGGAAAGTTATTGCGCATCTATTAATGCGAGCGTTTTCAAGCTATTTACATGTAGGTGTGTATATCATCACGGTTTTTCCGTAATTAGTGCGTAATGAGCGATAAACAAAGAAAATTGGTAGTAGACAAACAAAAGCATAATTAAAACAAAAAAGAAAGGTGTATTTAATTAAAGCCACCTTTGATCATCCTGGTTTTCCACCATTTTCACTCGGCTCTTCGTAGCTTGGGATCTCGGTGCGTGGTATTTGATGATGTCGCAGGTAGACGAGAAGTTCTCTTTTTTTTATTGCCTTCTTTTTCGTGTTGCTTCGTCTTCGGCGAGGCCGAAACGTGCGTTCAGGAATTCCAAATGATTATAAGTAATTTATTGTTATTGTCATCGTTCCCATTCATTTCAGTTTAATTAATCTACGTACGCAAGAAATTGATCGCATCCCCGGTACTACTAACGCAAAAATAATAATTACTCAACAATAATTAGCCGTAAATTGAAGAGGAACAATGGGATCGTCGTGTGTTGCAAGAATGGAAATAAAATGAAATAAAATAGAAAGTGAAAATCATTGTAATTATTGTTTTCCGTGAGTCTAATTAATGCTGAATTATTAATTATTAAGACTTTAATATCAAGTTAACGTTGTCCGCTCCGTCCGGCACGTGAAAGTGCGTCTAAAACGAAAGTTAATAGAGCGTTGAAAAAGAAATATATCTATACAAAATTAAACGAGAATTTCTCCAAGAATTTATATTATTAGTATTTCTTGCAATAACTATGATGCACTCTTCTTGCATACTTCCCTAATCCGAATCCCATTGGTGGTGGTCATTCTTTTTTTTTTGTTAATACAACAATCGATACGGAATCGCTCATTCGCGGAATCAAATTTGTTTTGTTTTATTTTCAATTGTTTTAATTACATGCATCACGTAGTCGTTGTCTTTTCCAGGAACAACTAATAGCGCTTGCTATTATCTACTTAGTGGAAATTTATGAATGCACTTATCAATTTGTTTGACATTAAACGACACGTTAATTGCACGAGGCAACAATTAGTTGGAAAGGGAAAAGAAACAACAACAAAAGGAACAAATATTTGTAGTTGTTTGTGACAGTTTGTACGTGTTTCGTTGTTTCGTTATTGATTATGCAACTATGTTTTGTTTGTTAAGAATTATTTTTGTAGAATTTATTGAAACAATTTGTAATCCAAATATAATATATAGGATGGGAATAAAATGATTAAATATTTATTATTTACTAGTTACAATTAATATTGAAGTAGATAATAATGTAATTAATAGTTACATGATATACATGTTTAGATTAGGTAATTTAATATAGGCAACTAAAAATACATATTAATTTCAATACTTATTTGGTAAATTTGTAATACTCAGTTTTTTCTCTCTATTGTACTAACATTTTCTTGTGTGATTTTAATTATTACTTATGTTATTAATTAAAGTATTAATTTTATATAAAAAAAAAGATCTAATTAGATTATGTTGGTAAGGTGTATCGTAGGCAACTAAATGTACATGGGTGTTTGAAATGTAGCAAGAATTGAGACTATTTGAATATGGATTATATGTTTATTAAAGTAATAAATAACAATGGAATAATTTAAGTTGTGTTTGTTGGAATTTAGTCGACCTCCTCGACGTTCGGTCCAGATCGTCCTTGGAAACCTCCGGCTTGCTGGCCGCAGGATTGCTGTCCATTTTGGTAGATCTTGGCCATGATTCCGCTGCATACGCTCGTCAACTGCTTCTGCTTATCCTCGTACTCCTCCTTCTCGGCCAGCGAGTTCGCATCGAGCCATTGCAGACAACTGTCACACTCCTGCTGCACCTTGCTCTTATCCTCGGCGCTGAGCTTATCGCCAGCTTCGTCGACGGCCTGCTTCACGTTGAAGATGTAACTCTCCAGCTGGTTTTTGGATGCTACGCGATCACGCTGCTTCTCGTCTTCGGCTTTATACTTCTCAGCCTCGGCGAGCATCCTGTCGATGTCCTTCTGAGAGAGACGGCCCTTATCGTTCTTGATGGTGATGTTCTTCTCCTTGCCGGAACTGGAGTCCTTGGCGGAGACGTTCAGGATACCGTTGGCGTCCAAATCGAACGTGACCTCGATCTTTGGGACTCCCCTGGGCGCTGGTGGGATGCCCGTCAGGTCGAAGTTTCCCAGCAGATTGTTGTCTTTGGTCATCGTGCGCTCCCCTTCGAACACTTGGATGGAAACGGCCGATTGGTTGTCGGAGTAAGTGGTGAAGGTCTGCGACTGCTTGCACGGAATGCGAGCGTTCCTTTCGATGATCTTCGTCATGACTCCTCCGGCTGTCTCGATGCCCATGGAGAGTGGCGTGACGTCTACGAGAAGGACGTCTTGAATCTTGGAGCTGGTGTCTCCGGTCAATACGGCTGCTTGGACGGCCGCTCCGTACGCGACCGCCTCGTCCGGGTTGATGGACAGGTTGAGCGCTTTTCCGCAGAAGTAATTTTGCAGCAAATTCTGGACCTTCGGAATCCTCGTCGATCCGCCAACCAGAACGATGTCGTGGATCGAGGATTTGTCCATCTTGGCGTCAGCTAAGGCCTTCTCGACTGGCTGCAAGGTTCCTCGGAAGAGATCAGAGCAGAGCTCTTCGAATCTGGCCCTGGAGATCTTCGTGTAGAAGTCGACACCCTCGAAGAGCGCGTCGATTTCGATCGTGGCTTCCGTGCTCGATGATAAAGTACGCTTCGCCCTTTCTGCAGCAGTGCGAAGTCTCCTCAAAGCCCTCGGGTTACCCCTGAGATCCTTCTTCACCTTCCTCTTGAACTCATCGGCCAAATGGTTGACCAGTCTGTTGTCAAAGTCTTCACCGCCCAAATGCGTGTCTCCGGCTGTCGAGCGCACCTCGAACAGGGAACCCTCATCAATGGTCAGAATGGATACGTCGAAGGTGCCGCCGCCCAAATCGAAGATCAGCACGTTCCTCTCCCCTTTGAGATCTTTGTCCAGACCGTAAGCTAGAGCCGCCGCCGTCGGTTCGTTGATGATGCGTATCACGTTCAAGCCTGCGATCATTCCCGCATCTTTGGTGGCCTGTCTCTGGGAATCGTTGAAGTAAGCCGGCACCGTTACCACCGCATCCTTAACGTTCTGCCCCAAGTACGCCTCGGCGGTCTCCTTCATCTTCACCAGCACCATCGAGCTGATCTCCTCCGGCGCAAACTTCTTCGTCTCCCCTTTGAACTCCACCTGGATCTTCGGCTTACCTCCATCGTTGATAACTTCGAAGGGCCAATACTTCATGTCCTCTCCTATTTTCGCATCGTCGAACTTGCGACCGATCAGTCTTTTCGCGTCGAACACGCTGTTCCTGGGATTCATCGCCACTTGGTTTTTGGCAGCATCTCCAACGAGTCTCTCGGTGTCAGTGAACGCCACATAGCTGGGTGTAGTCCTGTTGCCTTGATCGTTCGCAATGATCTCGACTTTTCCATCCTGCCAGACGCCCACACAGGAATACGTCGTGCCCAGATCGATTCCAATCGCCTTCGCCATTATTGTATGTATCTGCTTATTTGGTTGCACTTGTAAAAATACCGCAACTTCTCCTTCACTCTTATTGTTTCACTGCTTGTTTAGCACTGGACTTCCACTCGCTTTGCAAGTTTGAATTGAACTGCCTTTCCCACCAGACTCGTGCGTATTTATACGGAAACCGCGATCTTCTCGAACATTCCCGATCGATCTACAACGCACACGAAAGTTCCACTGCCAGAAATTTCTAGAAAACTAAAACATTTTTCAGTTCTACAACTGATTAAAGAACAATCACACATTCTTGATACCATTGAAAATTTAAAACAATAAATATCAGCTACTAATGTACAGATAGTAATGGATAAACAATAACAATACATTCGCAAACAGCAAGTAACGTTTCAATTTCTGGAAATTTCTAGAAAGTTTTTATTCCAGAAACTACTAATAACGAGTCATCTATTCATTGTTTTCTAACCCTATGATTGTTAAAGAACATTAATTCTTACAAATATAAGCAAATTTCATATGATTCTAAATAGAAATTCCACTTTTTTTTTTTGCAAAAAATCTAATGTCAAATAAATTAGTAATTTCTATTTTAAGCTAAAATCTTACTACTTAATAATCTACAACAAATATAATTTAATTTACTTTTGAATATTTTGCATAGTTTCGAAATTGCGTCTATAAATAAAAATTTATCATCACCATAATGATTTAAAACTAATTAACTAACACGAACTTAAGCAAATTGGGATAC